TACTACTACTACTACACACACACACACACACACACACACACACACACACACACACACACACACACACACACACACACACACACACACACACACACACACACACACACACACACACACACACACACACAACGTAGGGTCCTAACCACTAGACGATCACAGCCACTATGGAAACAAACAAGAGTGAAAACGGGCCGCACGCCCAACAAGCAGCTATTGAAGCAGGTGCGTAAATGAAGCGGACGCAAGCGTTGGAACGCCTCGAGAAATTGACCAGTGAGTTAAATGATTTCGTCCAGTCAAAGGTCAACATCCACAAGGAGATAAAAAACAAGACGACTAGTGTAGCGAACGCACTTCAAGGTTTAAAAAAACTGGATGAAAAATGGCGCTCATCATTACACCGCACCCCCTGTGCTACATCAGAGATCGCTGAAGAAAAAAGTGAAACTATCACAGTGAACGCACCTGGAAAAACCGACATACTGGTTGAAGAAATGGACAGGCGGCGAAGGTGATATCGAGTCAGTCTGTGAAGACGGAGGTGAATCGGGAACCAGGAAACGGAAAGAACGAACTCCTGACCCAAGAGAAGATCAAACAACGAAGAAGAAGCACTTGAAACCAAGCCCTCCAAAAAACATGGTGGCACAGAACGCCGATAAGAAAGAGGCGTCTGAGTGGCAGAAGATCCAATCCAAGAAGGAAAAAAGGAAGCAAGGCAAAAAGCAACTTCCAAAGCAATTGCCGGAAAAACTGCAGCTGGAGCCTAAGCGGAAAAAACCGCACAAACGGATCAGGCCAGACGCACTGATCATCCGCCCAGCTGAGCCTGCAAAGTACGCTGAGATTTTGCGGCGAATGAAGCAAAACATCCTTGATGAACAGGTCTATACCACGGTGGACAAGATCTACAGAACCAGGGCCGGAAACATGCTGATTACCCTCTGTAGGAAGAGCACCGACAAAGGCCAAGCCTTGCAGAAGACCATTGCGGATATTCTCCAAGAAGACGCCCAAGTAATCTGTAAAGGGCCACAGGAAGACGTTGAAATGCGAGACCTTGACGATACCACAATCAAGGAGGACATTCAAACCGCCTTGCGAACGGCGAGTGAAGAGTCCTGCGAAATACCACTAGAGATAATTAAGATTCGTAAGTCCTACAGAGGTACTCAGACCGCTGTCGTGACACTACCAGCAGCTGCAGCACGGAGGATACTGGAAGGAAGCGGCAAAATAAGGATTGGCTGGGCCAATTGCCGAATAAGAGCAACTAGAAGGCCAGTCCAATGCTTTAAATGCTGGCACTTTGGACATGTTGGGCCCCAATGTAAAAGCCAAGTAGACCGGTCTAAACTCTGCATCAGATGTGGACAAGAAGGGCACCGTATCGCTGACTGTAAAAATTCTGCCAAGTGTGCAATATGTGCTGAGCAGCAAGGAGCAAAGGATGTGGCTCACCATGCCGGCACCCACAGATGCCCGGTATTTCAGGAGGTGCTCCAGAAGTTGACGAACAAACAAGCATGAGGATACTGCAGTTCAATCTCAACCATTGTGAGGCAGCGCATGACCTGCTCATGCAATCCGTGCGAGAATTAGAGCTTGACTTGGTACTGATAGCAAAGCCATATAAACACCTGAGTACCCAACCCTGGGAATCTGACAGCACATCCAAAGCTGTCATCTGGTCATGTGGCAAGCTCCCTTTCCAAAATGCAGTCGACAACAGCAATGCCGGCTTTGTAGCAGTATCAGTAGAGGGCATCCGCTTCTATAGCTGCTACGCACCACCTAGCCTCTCCATTGTTGACCACTGATTTCCTGGATCGACTAACCGAAGATGCGAAGCAATACCATCCAGTAGCGACAGCCGGAGACTTCAACTCCTGGGCAGTTGACTGGGGTAGCAAACATACCAACGCACGAGGGAAAACACTACTAGAGGCCTTTACTACACTAGATGTAGTTTCGCTCAACAGTGGTGATACGCCGACCTACACCAAAGGTGATGCAAGCTCAATTGTAGATCTCACTTTTGTCAGTAATAGCCTTGCTAAAGGCGACTGCAACTGGAAAGTGTTGGACATCTACACTGCCAGCGACCATCATACGATATTCTGGGAAATATCAAGCGACCAGAACCTCAATAGACCAGTCAAGCAGTCTAACATCGTTGGTTGGAAGGTGAAATATTTTGACCCAGAAGCATTGCTAATAGCCCTCGATGGTGATCCGATCAACACTGGATGTGCAGAAGAACAGACTAAGGACCTGATGAGGAGAGTAACACATACTTGTGATGCCAGTATGCCTCGTAAACGTGGCATAAATTCGAGACCTTCGGTGCATTGGTGGAACGACCACATCAGCGTCCTCCGTAAAGAGTGTTATAAGAAAAGAAGAATCTCCCAGCGTGGCTATCAACGGCCCAACTCAGTGGAGCTGATCGCAGAGTACAAAAAAGCGCGTCGTGAACTGAATAAAGCCATCAAAGAGAGCAAAAGAAGATGCTGGAAAGAGTTTATATACGAGGTGGATAAAGACGTGTGGGGTAGGCCTTATAAGGTGGTTATGACCCACCTGAAAAAACAACAAATGCCATCACCTACGTGTCCTTAACTTCTTCAGAAAATCGTCACTGCACTGTTCCCACAGCAACGCAACTTCGATTACCAGTTGGCGCCAGGCGAACGGGACGACATTCCACCTGTCACTGAAGAAGAACTGCTGGAGGCCTGTAACCGTGTAGGGTGGTTCCCATGAGGGATTAGAGGAAAGAGGAAAGGGGTTTAGGGTTTAGTGGGTAGGGGCGTTAGCGTCGAGTTTTAGTATGACGCTGCGTCGAGTTGCCACATATCCAGGCCAAACAGCTATGCCTAGAATCCGTAAAAAGGATTCGCCCCCTTAAAAAAAAAAAAAAAAAAAAAAACACACACACACATTTATCCGTAACTCCTATTCTTTCCCGCTTCACAGCATTATTTATATTTGTTAAAAATGCTAGCCGTAAGATGGACGGTGTGGCTTAATGTATATAGAATAAGTGAAAGGAAATTTAGTATAGACTGGATAGCTCAAATGGTAGAGTAGCCGACATGTCTTCGGAAGGTTCTGGGTTCGAATCCTAGTCCGAGCTATCTAATAATTTTTTCTCGCATATTCTATAAACTCACATTAAGATGATCCTCTCCACAATCCTTTCTCAATCCTTTCCTACCAATTATCCTGTTACGTGAATGTTGGAACGCTTCACGTAATAATTATCCGTAACTCCTATTCTTTCCCGCTTCACAGCATTATTTATATTTGTTTAAATAATACGCTACTTGTTAGGGACCTTCGTACTAATCTAATCTCTGTATCCAAAATCACTCGGAACAACCGAGAGGTTTTATTTAGAAAAGACGACGCTATCATCAGGGACCTAGATGGAAATGTCAAGATGGGAGCAGATCGTGTAGGAGACTTATACTATCTACGAGAGGACAAGGAACAAGCCAATGCAGCGACAACTCAAGAGATGCGAGGATCAGACGCAAGTCTCTGGCACGCGAGACTCGGGCATCTGCATATGGATGCCGTACTGGATCTATCCAAAGGCCAGGCGACAGGCATCAAGCAGTTGACTCCAGGGAGATGGCCGTGCGACGTATGTCATCGAGAAAAGATGACGGTGAAGCCATTTACGCCGCGAGGAGAAAAGAGCAAAAATTTGCTCGAAATTATACATTCCAATTTATGTCAACCGTCAAATACAAAATCCGAAGGCGGAAATAAATATTTCGTGACGTTTATTGACGACTATAGCGGCTGGTGCGAATTGTATTTGCTAAAGAGCAAAGACCAAGTCTTCGAAGCCTTCAAAGAGTTTAAAACCTACGTCGAAAAACAAACAGGACATAAAATAAAGAAGTTGCAGTCCGATAACGGCCGGGAATATTGTAATATTCAGTTCGACGAGTTCCTAAAGCGTGAGGGCATTCAAAGACGCCTGACGACGCCTGACGACGCCGTACACACCGCAACAAAACGGAACCGCGGACCGTATGAATAGGACAATTGTCGAAATGGCCAGGTGCCTCTTAATCCAATCGGGATTACCCACGATGCACTGGGGAGAGGCAATACACACTGCTAATTACTTAAGGAATCGCTATCCTAGCAGAAGTCGACAAGGAATAACCCCGTATGAATTATGGTTCGGAAAGCAGCCGTCCCTAAAACATTTAAGAATATTTGGCTCGAAGGCATTCATACTCGATAAAGGGCCTGGACGTCGAAAATTAGACGATAAATCAATTGAAGGAAAGCTGGTTGGATATTCACGAACGGCGAAGGCGTACAGAGTTCGTCGAAATCACACCGGTAAGATAGTGGAAACCAGGGACGTAGAAATAGTAGAAACGGCTATCTCAACGCCACAGAACGCAATACCAATTGACATTGACTACGCGCATCCAGACGAAGAAAACCCAGAGCCAGGGAGAGTAACTAGGAATGAACCGGGAAGAGTCGCCAGAAATGAGCAACAACACGAAGAAGATCAAATGGAACCACCAGCCAGGCGTGCTCGGGGAAGACCAGCAAAGGCAAAGACCGGAAAACCAGGACGGCCAAAAAGAATGTACTGATACGTCAGTATGTCAAGTGTGGCATCTAGTCACACACCAAGCCGAGAGGATTTAACCGACTTAGATGTACCTCCAGATAATGAACAGGTGGAAGACTTACATGACGACGTATTCAACCCAGAAGCCGACGACGAGAACCGCGGCGCAAAACGAGAGCTGGAAACATCATTATATCCTGAAGACAAGCGAACGAGAAATGAGTCGAATGATAGTAAAGGTGAGAAATCACCAGACTACATAGAAGCACTGGAGAACCCAGAATTCATGGAGACAAACTTCGTCGAAGAAATGGCAATGATGACGGACATAAACCTGTCAGAAGCAGTCTGTGGAGCGGAATCACCTGATTGGAGACGCGCCATAACCGAAGAAGTGCGTTCACATCTTGAGTACGGGACTTGGGAACTTGTGAGACGACCAGAAGACAAAAATGTCATTGGTTCCAAGATCGTACTAAAGAACAAGATGAACGCGAATGGAAAAATTGAGCGCAAAAAGGCTAGAATGGTGGCCAGAGGATTCACGCAGAGGCCAGGCTTCGACTACGAAGAAACGTCTGCTCCGGTAGCAAGACAGGAGACAATTCGACTACTAGCAATGTTGTCAGCAGGGATGAAGACTAAGATGCACCAGCTAGATGTTGTAACAGCATACCTCAACGCAGAGCTCGATGAAGAGCTGTACATGGAAGTCCCTGAGAAGCTGAAAGAAGCACTAGAAGACATTGTATGCAACGAGCGAAGAGACTCTGACGTGCACAAGAAAGCAACGAAGATGTTGGAGAGTCTGCTCAAAGGCAACCAAGTCTGCAGGCTTCGAAAATCACTGTATGGATTGAAGCAATACGGAAAGAAGTGGAATGAGAAGCTACGTAAAGTTCTAGAGAAGCTAGGACTAAAACCTACAGCCTCGGACCCGTGTTTATTCGTACAGAGAGTGGAAATCGGGACTCTAATCATTGGAGTCTATGTAGATGATATACTGATCACGTCAAATAATCTGAGACTAATAAACAAATTCAAGGAAGAATTGGGTCGAGAATTAAAAATTAAGGACCTAGGTGAGGCCAAATACTGCCTAGGAATAGAATTCCATCAAGAAACTGGGCGAATAAGCTTAAGTCAACGTCGATACGTGCAAGAGTTGCTGGAAAAATTTGGAATGGTCAACTGTACAGCCCAAAACACGCCAGCAAGCCCCTCTTCGAGACTGAAAGCTGCGACAGACCCCGAAAAACCAACGAAGAATCCCCAATATCGAGAGCTAGTTGGCTCACCAATGTACTTATCGGTGGCGACAAGACCCGACATTACGCACAGCGTAAGTGTGCTAAGTCAATACAATGAAAACCCGACAGAGGAACATTGGGGAGCCGCAAAAAGGGTGCTCAGGTACCTGAAGGGAACTATCGACCTAGGACTTACCTACGACGGCACGATCGGGAAGATCATTGGATATTCAGACGCTGACTGGGGAAACGACCTTGACGACTCAAGATCATACTCTGGATATGTGTTCACTCTAGGAGGAGCCGCAATAAGTTGGAGATCTCAGAAGCAGCGAACGGTAGCATTGTCAACGACGGAGGTAGAGTTCAAAGCACTCACTGAGGCAACTAAAGAGTCAAAATACCTGAGGGGACTCATTGGTGAAATCGGAGTACCAGACATATCAGAAGGATTAATATATTGCGACAACCAAGGCGCAGTGCAGTTAACTACGACGATGGGACACCACAGCCGGACTAAGCACGTCAGAATGTACTTCAACTTCGTTAGAGAATTGGTCAGCAATAAAGAAATAAAAGTCGTGCATCTATCTACTAACGAAATGATCGCAGACATCTTCACAAAAGCTCTACCCAAGGATAGACATCGAGAGCTTACCAAGACGCTGGGAATGGACAAGACGTCATAATCGCATGTGTGCGTTCGCATTAAGGGAGAGTGTTGTAGTATAGTAATGCTTACACGCATACTTACACATCACATGCACTCCAATCTACCACGCATTCACGTCGCGTCGATGAACGTACCACGTGCCTATATACACTAATACATAAAAAACACAGAGCACTGTAATAAAGTTTCAATAAATCAAAACTCTACTAAAATTTAACTCTTCGTTTTTATAAATAATTTCATCATATCCACTATAAATCCCACATAAAAGTATCTCTTTTAAATTTTCCGGCTATTCTCCACTTTCTTCTCGTTAATACCCTTTAACATCTTAGTTACTATCACCTATCAAAGAAGCGTTGATTATCTATAATAAACCTGATAAACAAAAGAGCTCCCACAAAGCCAAAACTTTAAAAACCTCAAAAATCGTAGCTCATTCTTCAGAATTGCCGGACGCTGTTCACTGTTCTCTTTCTCTATCGAGGTCAATTGGACGATAATCATCGAATAAAACCACGCGATTGTGTCGCGTGTACTCATTTCTTCAATATCCGTTTCTAGTTATTATTTATTACATTATAATTTAAATAAAAGTAAAGTTTCCCTTGAACTGCATAGTTCCAATTCTTAAAGTGACAATCGCTGAACAATTAGAAAAAAATTCAAAAGCAAGCCCCGAGGAGACGCTCCCACGCAAAACAGACTGACCTGATAAATTTTCTGGGCCGCAGCCTCCAGGCGATGCTTCACTCACTTGACGACAAAGGTCTTGATCCTCTCCGCTTGTTTTTTCAGGAGAAAAAAATTGACACTGTCCCGCCTCACGCCTCCGCATTTTTTAATTTTGTTCATTTTCTATTATTAAAATAAATGAATAAATTAAAAAGTTTGGTGAAACCAAATATGCATGGCTTAAACACTCATATCAAACGTAAATATTGATCAGAACAGGTTTAAATATACAACAATTTTTCACCAATTACTTTAATACTATTTTCAAATTTTTAATTATTTTATGTCAAACGTCAATAGAGAAAAAAGAATTATCTATGGTATACTAGAAGAATAAATTTCAAAAATAATTTTAATAATAAGTTAATTAGTAATTAATAATTACATACAAATTGAAAAAATGTGTTTGATTTACAATTCAATTTTAAAGCTCCTTTAAATTTTCCTGCGGATAGTATGTTTCTCACACTGATTGAACGTCCTCTTTCGTTCCGAAAAGTGAATCATAAAAAAAAATTACCAATTCAAGACTGTATCACCGACGGTCAGCCTGCGAAAGAACCGAGTATAGTATACGATATAGTATACTGATATATCAGCTGTCTTTAAGCTGTATTTACAAATAAATTATTATAGATGGCTGCTCAAAAGGACAGAAAATTTCGCTAATTGCCAGCCGAAAAAAATTAATTATAATCAAACAAAACAATATTGAGGTGCAATTTGTATTCTGTAACCTTTCGTAAGGCAGATGAGAAGATTAAAAAATAAATTGAGTTAAAAATTGATTGTTTGAAAAATTATTGTATTTTAAGTATTTATTATTCAATAAATACTTTAAAATTCTACACCTAACCATTAAAATCACTTTTTTGTGTAAAAATAGCAATTAATCGATCTGAAAATAAAATTTAATAAGTTCAGCGATCATTTTCCTATCTAACAATGTGCTTTTTGTATCATTTATATGTATAATATGACTATTAGGTACAATTATATGTGACAAAATGTTTAAATCTTGATTTTTAAACTATAATAGAACATACCTTCTTACTCGCGCTTAAGACATGCAATTTCTTAGGGGAAACAATATTAATTTCTTACATTACGAACTTTAATCTATACTAATCTATACTAATATATAAATCTGTAGTTTTTTACGGTTGTTCCGTTAAAACTATTAAACTATACATCCGATTGAGTTGAAATTTCGCATCCATGTAGAGGATACATTGAGTTAATGGATAGGCTAACTTTTTTATCCATGTTGAATCTCCGAAGTGTATAGCAGGGGCGTTTATGATTAGAAAAATCATAAAAAACTAAATTTTGAATTTTAACTTTTTTAGACATGAAATTTAAAGAGAATTTTTTTGGGCTAGGTGGAGAACAAACAAAAATATATTAAATGAAGTTTGAATCCCAAAATCGGTTACAGGGGCGCTAATGAAAAAAAATGAAAATTTTAAACTAGAACTCCCACAGACTTATAATTTAATAAAAATTTCGTATTTGTTGAATAAAGGTTTTCTACTATCAGATTTCGAAAAATTTCAGCCCCAGAGGAGATTGTGGGGGTGTTAAAAATTTGTAAAATTTTTGTCTTTCTTCTGTTATCTATATAAATGAAAATAGAATGCCACATGTATGTCCATGCATCACTCGAGAACGGCTGAACCGATTGGGCTAATTTATTTTTTTTGTCTTCAACATTGTCAGGAGAATGTTTATATGTAAAAAAATTTCAAAAAAATCCTCCCCCATAGGGGATTGCGGGAGCGTTAACAATGAATAATTCCCGTTTTCAAACTATAGCTCCTATAGACCTCAAATTTGGTAGAAATCTCCTGTAAGAAATATAGAAATAATCTATAAACGAATTTTACGATAGCTCACTCCACAGGGGGTTGCAAGGGTGGATATTAACAACAAAAATTTGCAATTTTCAAATTATAGATTGATCCTACAGAAGGCAAATTTAGTTGAGTTTTCCATATGTGTTGCGGAAGTGATCTAAGAGCGGATTTTACTACAACCCACCCTCAATAAGGATTACGGAAGTGGATGTTAAAATGTTAAATTTCTGTTTCTAAACTGTAACTTCTACAGACTCCAAATTTGGTAGAAATCTTCGTGTATGATGTTAAGTTCAGCTAAGAATGGATTTTATCAAATTCTAGCTCCAAAAGGGATTGCGGGGGCGTTAGCAATGAAAACCTATCATTTCCAAACATCAGTTTCTATGGACTCGAAGTTTAGTAGGAATCTTTTATTTATAAAGTAGAAATCATCTCGAATCTTACGAAATTCCTCCCCCACATAAGAGTGCGGGGGTATTAATTGTCAAAAAATTCATATTTTTCA